ACACAGAACAGCGCTGAGCATGATGCTCACTAACAAGGTCAGACCAATTACTAAGCTGAATTCGATGCCATTTCCCTCAGTGCAGCAAGGGTACTGTCATGGGGAGCTGTACCACTCAGCACATCAGCTATCTGCACACGCAACGCTTAACGTAAGCAAATACATCTACAGTTTGCCTAGGAACACCGGCAGCAGCATCCAGGTGCGGGCCAAAGGGATTTGTGGTGATGCAGGCTCAGCACATCAGCTATCTGCACACGCAACACTTAATGTAAGCAAATACATCTACAGTTTGCCTAGGAACACCGGCGGCAGCATCCAGGTGCGGGCCAAAGGGATTTGTGGTGATGCAGCCCAGCCTCATTGCTTTACAACAGAGAGAGCAACAAGTTACCAGCTACTCCTGCTCCTCAGCACCCACAAAGAGCCTTACCCTCTTCCGTGACTTCTCAGAAGAATTACCAGCCACGCACTGAGGTGCAGCCTCTGAGCTACCACTTGGAGCTGTTACACCCTCCAGCAGCGATGCTCCCTCCTCCTCCTCTTCCTCCTCCTCCTCCGCCTGGGTTGCAGTAGAGGAAGGAGGCCCACCTCCACTGCATTCAGGTGTGGTCTCTGAGGTATCAATCAGAGCTCTTGCGTTCTCCAGCAGCGATGCTCCCTCCTCCTCCTCCTCCGCCTGGGTTGCAGTAGAGGAAGGAGGCCCACCTCCACTGCATTCAGGTGTGGTCTCTGAGGTATCAATCAGAGCTCTTGCGTTCTCCATCAGTGATCCTCCCTCCTCCTCCTCCTTTGTTTCAGTGGTGGAAGAAGGCCCGTTGGCACCTTCTCCCCTCACATCTCTCCCAGGCTCTGCTCCTGTATCAGGGACTGGTGCAAGCTTCACCTCTCTTCTTTCTGCAATGGAGGCAAGGTTTGTTGTTAAACTAAAGAGTCGGGAAAGAAGATGGTTCTCAGCTGGTGGTGAGCAAGCAGGGTCTGCTGCTAAGTGTATCAGTTGAACACACAGGAGCCGCTTTGCTGTTCCCTGTTCAACAACTACTACTAGCAATGACACCAGTCAGCAGCAGAATAATTAAGAAACCACTGTATTCAGGTACTGACGTTCTCCATACTACCTCCAGCTAACGTGCTACTGGCCAAAGCAGCAGGCGCTGGGAACCACAACTGCCTGTCGAAACGCTTGAGGACCCCCAAGATGTGCGGTGACAGTACGCTGGCACTTCTCAGCTTTCTCAGCCTTCTGGACTGGCTGTGTGACCTCTACCATGCTGCTGAGTGTTGTGTCCAGGAAGGCATGGGAAACTCCCTTTTTATCTTCGAGAGTTTTATCCAGACCCTAAAACCTGTGAAAAGGCAGCTCAGACCTGAGTCAGGCATCAGAGTAGATCCCCACTTTCTACAGACCTGTTTTACGGGCTCTTCAGCAGTGTCTCTACCCCAAATTTGAGAGCAGAAGCTTTTAACCTCCTTGAGTGGAGATCAGTCAACACCAAAAGACATTGATTTCCTCTGGGTATTTTTGGGAGCAGGAGCACCCAAAAAAAAAATCAAGGTGAAGGTAGCTCACAGCCTCTTTTTGAGTATTACAGCCCAAAGGCTGCACCAAGCTTAATGACAGCGGGTTGTTTTGTACCTGAAGCAGGCACCCTTCGCAATATTGTTTCACATCCAATTTACTATCATGCCATTACCTGGAACGTTTAAACTCTTCCCTGAGCTTTTCCTGCTCCTCAGTGACTCCTCTGTTGACAGGGCTTGACCTGCACACATTTACTTGGTAGAACTCCCTGGTCCCCCAGACAGAGAGCATATTCACCTGGTAAAGCACTACAACTCCTTCCACCACTTTCAATCATTACCAGAAGCGGGGACAAAGCTTTCAGACCACCAGAACAGATGCTCGAGATGTTTTTCCTACAGCATTTAAGACCTGGAGATCCTGGGTTTGTTACCTTGCCATTCCAGATTGCAGAGGGATTTGCTAAGAATTGATCTTATCAGGACTACAGCAGGCTGATTCTGATTTAGCATATTCTTTTATAGGACCCTACTTCTTCATATCAACACACCAAAAGCAATTCTGGTGGCCCGGGTCATTCTCTCTTTAAGCAAATAAAGGATAAGGAAATACTTCCCCCTGTGTAACTGTATTAATTGTGTACTTGGCTCTATTAGTGTTCACGGAGGCAGAATTAGTGTGTTGTCAAACAGAAGTTCAGGCACTGAATTCTAAACCTAACGATAAGCTGAAGATAGGACATTCTGGTTCAAGAGGGACTAGACCAGTGTTGTGGTGTGAGAGAATTAAAAAAAAAAAGTAAAACTGGTGGGTTGAGATAAAGACAATTTAATAGGACAGAAAAGGAAGGGAAAATAATAATAGTGATAAAAGAATATACAAAACAAGTGCTGCACAATGCAATTGCTCACCACCCGCTGACCGATGCCCAGCCAGCTCCCAAGCAGTGGCCATGCCCCCCCCAGCCAAACCCCCCCACTTCTGTTTTTG